ACCAATTATATTTCCTAACTTTTGTTTTTATTTTAGATTTTTGAGTTAATATTTAAGGGCTAGTGATCAGTTATTGAGACATGAAAGAAGAAGTTACATTTATTGTTTATAATATTGATTGGGACTATAAATAAACGGAGCCTTCCTTACATCAAATGATCAAATATCACAGATCTTCGTTCGTAAGGTTTAAAAAAATTGAGATTTTTTTTAATCTATTCGATGTGCGATATATTCGATATAATGTCTATTCATTCAGAATGAATATAGATAGTTTTAAAATATCTGAATATATTCATAGTCGATATTTTTGCTCGATATTGACATCCCTACTCTCCACTGAGAACGTTCTAGACGTTTAAAAATAGTTTTATTTTTTTCGATATTGGAAGATTTGGCAGCCGTATTCTATAGAGCCTCTAAGGACAGCACGATAAATAGTGAGTAATGATTGGGGATGTGAATCCCACCAAACCCCTGTCAAAACAGAAATAATGTTAACAATTTTTCGACTTTTGGTGATGAGGTACTTAAGATGTTCTCTACCCGTCATTTTCCTATCAAACCAGACGCTGAGAAATTTGTGAGAATCAACCACTGGGATCTCTCGATCATCAATCTTGAGTTGTTGAAAGAGTGGGGTGGATTTTCTGTTAGAAAAAATCATGCATCTCGACTTTTCAGGGGAAGCGTTTAGACCTTTGGATTGCAAGTAGGGATTCGAGTGAATCCTGGATTATGGAAATAGCCACTTTTAGATCTGCCTCCGATGTGTAAATCACAAGGTCATCTGCGTACATTAAGATGGAGACGTTGTCACTGAGACAGGAAGCGATGTCGCGCAAATAAAGATTAAATAGAATGGGACTGAGGGTAGAGCCTTGGGGAGTACCCTTGTGGGCGCAGAGAGGGTCTTTTTTTCCGTTCTTGACAAAAAAGTGTTCTCTTTTCTCAATAATATTCTGAATGAATTTACAAATTTTTGCAGGTAAGTTGAGGTCCCTCAATGTATCAATGAGAATGGAAGGCACAACATTGTCAAACGCGCCAGTAATATCAATGAACACGCAGACTGTAGACGAACCATTCAGGTTGGCCGCGTGGATTGGCAAGAGTAATTAGATTATCAATACATGAACGAGAAGGGCGAAAACCGTATTGGAATTCGGGTATTATGAGATGCGACTCCACAAACCATTTGAGTCTATTATATATTATCTTTTCCATGCATTTGAGCAAACATGAGAGTATAGAGATGGGTTATGGGTCTAACGCCTTTTCCGAGGGGCTTGGGTATAAGAATGACGAGAGACTGTTTCCATTCAGGGGGAATAATTCCCGAATTAAGAAATCCGTTGAAGATATATACCAAGGCGTCTCTATAAGAGTCCGGAAGAGAAAAAATAATATTATGGCTAATTTGATCCAAGCCAGGGGCGGAGTTGGAGTTAGAATCCTTGATAGCAGTGTCAAGTTCCTTTCTAGAAATAGGTATGTCTATTTCGGTTATTAAGTTCGAAGAGTTGGCTTGGTCTTCAGCTAGAAGATCTGTGAAAGGGGGATGGCTGAGATGGAAGCATGTAGGCGGACAAAGCTTCTCTACCGCTACCTCACAAGCTAGCGTGAAATTTTTTG